CAGTCAGGCTTCGCTCACGTCCACGTCGCTCCTCATCAGCTGTGCGGCTAATGTACAGGTTCATTATCGTCCGTGTGGAGAAAGCAGCGGCCGGGACAAGAGTCACGAGTCCGGTCAGAATGTTCTGTGTACTGCTATTACTGCGGCCGCTACAGGGCTGTGGCCTGAAGAGAGGGGGCGACATTAAAACTCATGCACTTCTGTCTAGGCCAAAATTACAACTGGTGTCATATTGAGGTAAGTAATCATTATTTACAGTATGTGACAAATTCCATGAACCAAGGTCCTGCAAAAGTGTTCGTACAGCTATCATTTTTGTTGTGAATAATTTACACTTTGTCATTTAAGGCTAGAGAGTGTGTGTGTGTGTGTGTGTATGTGTGTCTTTTTGTCTGGAACTTTGCATTATATATGATAGTAAATGTATATATTAGTAGCATCACTCATCTCAAATGAGTAATACTGCATATACGCATATACTGTAGTGCTTTTCAAAGACACATAGTCACAAAGTCGCTTTTATCATTCCAGAGACGGCGGTGGCGTAATTCATTCTGTAATGCACTCCTGCCAAGACCCGATTAGAATATCTTTCCCAAAGCTTAACCTCAAAGCCTGGTTTCTTTCTTTCTTTCTTACTTACTTTCTTTTTTTGCTATTGTATAAACACTTGGTTAAGACAAATTACAAATTAGTAGTTTTTTTTATTTAAGAGAGCTCACAAGAACTGATGTTTCAAAGAAGAAACATCAATTCTTTTGTGAGGTCCATCGCAGAAGAACAGCCTTTGGACAGAACTCTCTCTGTGAGGGTCTCTAACATCTGGAACAGTCTTCTCCTACACATACGGGAGAGCCCTGACAATTGTTTCAAACTATGGCTCAAAACAAACCAGTCATGTGACCACTGGACGTTTCCTTGTGCTGCTGTCTTGTATGTTGTAAACGCATCTGCCAGCCCAGGAGCTACAGTATGGATGAAAACTAGCTTTGTGGCTATAATCTTTACAATATTTACACTTCTTTTTCACATTGTCCCCATCAAATAAGCAAATACATAAAACAATTCTGCTTGCACTAAAGACCAAAAGAGTGCACCGGTCAATTGTCCCCTCACTGAGTATTTTATAGAAATATATTAGGATAGAAATGTCTAAACCTGGGGACCTTGACTTTTTTCTCATAAATGCTCATGTTTGTCCCAACAGAACACTTTGGGCTGTGAGCTGATTGGCTGAGTGAGTGCAATCCTCTCTCTTTCACTTTTCTGTCTGAAAAAGCGGATCTAAAGGTGAGACAGAGGCCAAAAGTAGTGTTTTGAGTGTTGACAGTGTTGTGGCTGAGTGGATAGCACTCTCGCCTCTCAGCAAGAAGGTCCTGGGTTCGAATCCCGGTCGGATCAGGGCCTTTCTGAGTGGAGTTTGCATGTTCTCCCCGTGTGTGCGTAGGTTTCCTCCGGGTACTCCGGTTTCCCCTACCACTAAAAATATGTACAATAGGTCTGGCATGCGCCTCCTGTTCGGCGACCCCGCTCCCATCTCTGTGTGGAGTGAGAGGACAAGTGCTCAAAAAATAACAATTGTAAACCGCTTTGTGACTTGGTCTGTGAAAGGCGGTATATAAATAAAGATTACTTACTTACTACTACTGACACATTAGCTGGATTTTGTTATTTGGGATATGAGGTACCACAGCTTTAAGTGATATGTATCAGTCAGCCATGATGCTCAAAATCCGAATCTAAAACCACAAAGTTACTCATGTGTGTAGGTTGTGTAGGTTGTTCGGAGTTCAGCTGAAGAATCATCCTATATTTCCAAATCATTTTCAACTGTAATTGAGTGAATGCTATAATTTCCCATTAGAGAACGGACGAATCCCTTTGGCTCATCCCTTCCAGCTGCAGTGGAATTATTTGTGTGGAATCAGCTGTGTGCAGGATTGGGCGATAAAACTGAGCTCAGGGACAAGTCCTGCTTCTATCCTCGCTCCAGGCCCTCTGCAGCCAGAATCTGGACTCACGATTAAGTGGGATTATGTGGTCTACACTCAGCCGCAGTGACGAGCGTGTCCTCCGCAGAGCCAGAGGATGCGTGTGTCTCTGTGTGTGTCTCTGCCTGTACTTCAGCGCACACATACTGAGCCGGCAGAGACTCCGACAGAGTGACAGTGCAAAGGCGAGCGTGCTTTTGTTCCGACTGAGCCCCTAATTAGCCAGGCTAATTGAGCTGTTAATTGAGCTGTTGTCTTAATTAAAGATCTCCTGACGAGCCCTGGATGCTGTAACCGGGCGACACGCACTGCCCCAAAACACAAGTATAATCAGATGAGGCTGAGGACTGTCGCACATCATCGAGTCCCTGTCACTATAACGGCCATAGACTGTGTGGAGATGGACAATGCTAACCAACTTGCTCAATGAAGTCCAATATGGAACAATAGGGAAGTGCTCATGAACAAAGTTTTGCTCTAACTCCATAGACTTACACTGAAATGTAAACTCCTCAAGCTCATGTTGTGTCAAGCTCACCATTTTGCGCTGGTGTTTGAATTTGAGATTGCCATTGTAAATTCAGATATAGCAATAGCAATACAAGCAATATACAAGATATAAGGAATACTTTAAATACGCATCTATTTTCATTGGATTTAAACACATCATCATTTTTTGGTAATATAGTTTTTTTTGTTTCATTATAGTTTTTTTAAATTTTTAACATATTTTGATCACATGCTTTTATTAAATATAAAAATATATATATTATTTTGATGATATTGAATTTGATAACAATTCATCTTCAATTAAGTGAATATAGATGCATCAATAGAGTTGTGTTTGCGTTCAAGCAGAGTGTTCGATAATGAGCCAAAGCTAAAGCCAAAGCCATTTCATTTTTACTAAATCGCATAGTTGAGAAATATATATCGTTTTGAATTATATCAAGTTGATATTTGTATTTAGATACGTATCGCATCGACAGGTTCTGAAAGATACACTGCTCTTCCAATCAGATGCCTTCACTCAGCGGCGGAAACTCCGGATTTACTTGGCAACCACGTTAGCGACACGTTAGTTTGCATCTGCCTCTGATACAGCATGGAGGTCAACCAATCATCACAAATTCCCATATAAGGCTCCATAATTAGCTCCATATATTTTATGTTCAAATAGGCTTCTTTCGCATCAGTCCACTCCAAATATCCAGGCTATGAGAACTGTCGTGTTTCTCCTCCCTGTTCCTCCCCCGCCGTACAAAGCCCTTCGCTAATGTCTGCTTATGTTTTTGTCCATAAACTATCCCCACACATTACGGTTTAATCTGATTATATGACTCTTAACTTCATGTATTTTCATAAAGCTGCCAATTTGAGCCATATCTGTGGACTGAGAGCAACGGATTTAACTAACTCCCCGCTGGCAAAGGCCCAAGGTGCCATTATTTTATTTCAACCATTTATTTCCACCATTTCATTCAAAAGATCAGAGGGGAAATGTGGCAATTTGATAATAGAGCTGAAACAGCATATACAACATGAGTGGGTGAGCTTTTTTTAGCCGCTGTGCTATCCTCGGGTCAAATTGACGCACCACACTGATTAAAAAATGCCCTAAATATTAAGATTTTTTTCCCGCTGAATTTTGATGTTTTTTACTAACTTTATCAGCCTGTGTCAAGCCTTTTTATATCCTAATATTCTTCAACTTTTAATCACTGTGGTGGGTCGTTTTGACTCAAAGACAGCACAAGGTTTAAACAACATGGGTGAATGTGTAAGTGCCTACATTTGGAATTACTATACATGAATATCTATGGGTTTGTGTGTGTGATTTTGTTTTGTCATTGTGTGTGTGTGATTTTTTTGTTCATCAAATCAAATTCTGGTATTTTGCTCTGTAAAATTGATTACAATGGTGATAAAAAAATATCCCCAAAAGATAAATCTGCCAAGTTGCAGCTGTGTGCATGTTTTAACCCCTCACCACACACTGCATTCACTTCTCTAAATACCTGGATTTAAGTAACTGTCATGTTATACCTGCGGTTATATGATGTTGTTGCAGTATACACGCATGACAAGCACGCAAAATATGCTTACGCCAAAATCCATGAAAGTGCCAGGCCACGGAAGGTGAACTGTTGTAGCAAGTATACTGTGTTATATCAAGTAAGCCCCATGTACTCAGAAACCATGGGTCTTTTGCCACACACTCCACACACGTCATACAGGAGTCCTATTGTACATTTTTAGTGGTAGGGGAAAACCGGTTGGAAAACTACACAGACATGGGGAGAGCATGCAAACTCCACGCAGAAACGTCTGGAGGTGGAATCAAACCCAGGACCTTCTTACTGTGAGCCACAAGCGCTAACCACTGCGCCACCGGTATCAGCCTACACTTCTGTGGCATAGTCCGAATCTTCTTCAGAGTCTGGAAAAAATGAAAGCCGAATAAACTAATTAAAGGTGACGAGGCTATAATAGACTAGATCACACCAGAATGGGCTGAAGCCTTTTACAAACAGCACCATGGAGGATCTCTGGGGTCTGTCCTTGGATCTGATCCCGCTCTGTGCAGTACAAACATGCTGGTCAAGTCCATGGCTCTTCAGTATTTTGCATTTGAGCACAGAATGAAAGCCTCTGTGTGTAATGGAGGAGGATGACATATAAACACAGCGATTAAAGCTATACTAAAGACACGTCATGCATTATTTGTATCTGTTAATATGAATGTGAGACTTGTTCCTTTGCACTACCTGACATCTCATGTTTTTAATGTATTATAATATCTTAGGTAGAAAATATCTGGTGGAAGAGGGCAGTAGACATTGTTGTTGTCATTCCATGTCAGAATTCAATATTTTAATTATATACATTTTTTAATTCTCTCATTTTTGCAGTGTAGCATCCTATCAGAACGGTGTACTTTTATTCACTTACTGTAACGAGACTTGGTTAAAAAAGCCGAGTTTGGGCCACATGACTCGCAGACCTCGCATGTACCTGCCCGACTGCGGTCCCCATCTCCCTGTGCTCACTCTTCACAAGATGTTAGGTCTTTAATGCATTTCAGAGAACATCTGCTAACTATCACTGAACCTCATGGGATTTCCATTTAGCCCAGTTAATTACTCTATCAAGCCAGGTTCATTATCATATTCCTCTTTTTAAAAATGCAGCCTCCTCCAGCGTGTGCAGAGCAGAGGTGCGTGTAGAGCTAAGTGCGCAGACACTCGGGGATGTGTGCTCCAGTCTTCGACTCTTCCTAATTGCCGTGTTTGAGAGGTAATCCGTGTGTTAATGAAGCAGAGTGGTTCCGAGCGGGCTGAGGAGTCACCGAGGACCTCTCTGGGGAGGAGGAGCAACAACAGTCCCACTGAGGTTATCCCAGGTAACTGATGGTTATTACTCTGACGTGTCAAGTCCTTCTGCGCTCCACATCCATCTATGCTGCCGGGTCAGGCACCTCTTAGAAACTCATACACTTTAAGAAAAATAGAAATACTGATTGGCCTATATATGTTTAAGACCAAATTTTCTTTCAATGAGAGAATTAAGAACATACAGAGGGTTTCTAAGAATTTATTTCATGTATTACATTTCTCCAATTTAATTTGGAGGGACTCAACAGACAAAGGTTTATTACGATTGTAATTATTTGTTAGAATAGTATTACATAAAATACATAAAGTAGTATTTTTATTGCATGCTGTAAATGAAAGTAAAAGACGTTTTCCCCTACAACTTCCGGCAGAGCACTGTATGACAAAATGGAAATGAAAATAGAGATTATGAGATGAAATTCTCCAGGGCCTAGACCCGGGTGGTGGTTGCTCAGGAGAAGGGTTCAAGAGCTTATCTGGCAGTGATGGGGAGGAGGAGGGTTGCTCACCCATCATCTGTGCTTCAGAGAGCAGGTTTTCCTGATGTTTCGTTCTTCATCCAAAGAATATTTTCAAGGGAATGAACGCTCAGCTGCAAGTAGGAGATTTATAACCTGTAGGTGTGGTGAGGTTATAAATGATGGGTGAGCAACCTTCCTTTGTTTTGACTAATACCTGTACGACTGAGAGCTTACACAAACTGAATGCAGGGCGGAGTTTAAATGCTGCCAGTATGATTATCTAATTGCTGTGGTGCAGTAGCTGTATGAGGAGAGAGAGCAATAAGCTTATGAACACTGAAAGAGACATTCTAATGGGATTCTTTCATTATGTGAGTAAAAGTCTCAGAGTTTTATTTACTCGTGGAATCACTGAAAAGAAGATATTCAAATGTAAATATTCATCTGATTGGCCAAATAGTTATTCACACTCAAATCACAGTGAAGGAAAGCAACATTCATTCTGAGACACTTTCACTCTTTTAACCCTTTAGACGCCAAAGCAGCAGAATCACTGGAGCCCCTGATTACAGGACACTTTCTGTACAGTAACCTGGGTTCCCAAAATGATTCCCCAATTTTGACACACATTTTTCTCACATATATTTATGTTAAGTATTTTACTAGTCTTCTGACGCTTATAAAGGTTAATGGCTGTTTCTGTTTCACATAACATTTTGAACCACAATGACGCTCAGAGGATTCTAGTGGGACCAGATGCAGGTTGAGACCGGACTGTGTTGAAGAAGACAACAAACATTTTATACACACTTTCATCCTAAAGCCACACAGACATATCAAACATAGTGAGGCGCAGCACATCTGCTGTCTAACAACATGTGTTGATTCAGCTTTGGGCATCTGTATTCTTATGTAGAGCAATCTTCTTGTTTTTGACCCAGTGATCTGAGCAAAGACATCACATTAGTCTAGTTTGGTATGTTTCTGTCCTCTATGCTTTCTACTTTGTCATTCCATAGCTCTAAAGACACAAAAAGACACACACTTTACACAATGATAATTCTTAAGTCCTGGAGCAGAAGGTCACATTTCTACTTCAAGGATCAACTGACAACTCAATGTGGGAATCCATTTAGAAAAACATTATGTCTCCCAAAAAGAGGGTGTGCACTTAAGAGTGGAGAGGCTTGGTAATGAGCTGCCGTCAGATCATTTATAAAGAGCTTTAACAGACTGACGATTGTTCCACTAGAGGTCACAGGATTTAAAGAAGCGCCAGCTGTTCACCAAACAACCAACAGCAAAACAATCAAAAATGCATTAAGTTAAATGTATGAGGCGAGCTGCAGCGCGTCAGAAGATCCACTGTCAGGCGAAGGGTCACACTTCACACCAGCATTTTTCATCTTACTTACTCCAAGAAATGTTTGTCCAAAAAAAATCACGTTGAACTTCACATTCTTGTAAAGGACATTTCAGTTCTGATACTGCGCAGAACCCTCAAGCTCCCAGGACCCGAGCATAGAGAGGGATAGCCGAGATATAAGACTTATTCCTATTTACCATATAAACAAATTATCTTGGAAGTACGGGGCACCCACTGTGAGTTACAAAGCGGTGGTAAGCCAGGAGCGGCTTGCAGTGTATGCAGTGAGTTCTGCAGTATGCAGTGTGTTCTACAGTATGCAGTGTGTTCTGCAGTATGCAGTGTGTTCTACAGTATGCAGTGTGTTCTACAGTATGCAGTGTGTTCTACAGTATGCAGTGTGTTCTACAGTATGCAGTGTGTTCTACTGTATGCAGTGTGTTCTACAGTATGCAGTGTGTTCTACAGTATGCAGTGTGTTCTACTGTATGCAGTGTGTTCTACTGTATGCAGTGTGTTCTGCAGTATGCAGTGTGTTCTGCAGTATGCAGTGTGTTCTACTGTATGCAGTGTGTTCTACAGTATGCAGTGTGTTCTACAGTATGCAGTGTGTTCTACTGTATGCATGACCAAGCAGTTCCAAGAAGCCAGACCCTCTTGAAATCTGGAAAGAAGTTGCACCAAACTCTACTAGACTGCCTTTCACCTGATTATATTGCAGGTACATTTAAAAATAATAACGCCATAATAAAACATTTCATCCTCTGTCATGTCATATTGATTAAAAGATCATTTACTAAATAGATCTGGTTCTCGGCTTGTAGATGTCCCCATGTCCCAAAGGATCACGCTGGCTGTTAGCTGACCTTGAAAGCACAAACACATGTTTAATTTATGGAGATTGAAATTATAAGGGCTTGATGAAAAATGAGGGAAAAGTAGGTTCAGGATGAATGAGTGAATATACTCCAGCATTGGGGTGTGCCTTAGCTGCAGCTCACTCTCTGCTCACGTCTGCGTTTTGATGAGATTAGCTAAGTGCTGTACTTGAGGTAACCTTTCATGCACTGCCATTATTGTATTAATCTATTCTAAAACAATTTGGTTGAATTAATTAGGCCGCACATATTTGAGAGGCGCTGGGAGCAGATGGCTGTGAGCGGGAGACAGAGGCGTTGGTGACGGAGCCGAGCCGAGACACGCAGCCCCCAGTGAAGGCCGAGGTACAGCAGCAGAAGGAAGGGGAGGCTGGACTCTGATCATATGAGGAAGTTGTAACCGATGTAACTATTCGAGCCGGATCGTGGTCTCCCTGGGCAAAGGGCATGAGGACAGATGAAGAAGAGTTAAAGAAGACTTGTTTGAGCTTTCAAGCTTGTTACAATATCATGAAATACAAACATGAAGTTATTTTTATATATTCATGCTAATATCAGTCACTTATGGCACAACTCCACCCATTCATCCAATTTCTTCTGCTTTATTCATGGTCAGGTCCCGAGGCAGCAGTCCAAGCAGAGACACCCAGACTTCTCTATGCACACACAGTTCCTCCAGCTCATCTAGGGGACTCCCAATGCGTTCCCAGGCCAGCTGAGAGACTAGTCCCTGTGTCCTGGGTCTTCCCCTTGTCTCCTCCCTGTGGTGCATGGCGTCCAGGAGGCATCCAAGACAGATGTCCAAGCCACCTCTACTGCTTCCTCTCGATGTGGAGAAGCAGCCACTCTACTCCTGGCGATACCAAACCCTTTTTGTTGTAGGTCTGAGCGCTGCTGCAGCTGTCAAAAGCCGTGCATACACTATCATTTACAGTTACAGAGGAGGTGAGAGGCAGGAGCAGGACTGAAGGCTAGGCTTTAAATAAAGGTAACTGCCATTCATACTATCGGTTATATGATGTTGTTGGAGCACACACACAAAGAATGAGAAGCACAAAGTGAAAAAAATCATAAAAAAATCTGAGAAACAGCGAGGCCACAAAAGGTGAACCGCTTTATAGGAACGGGACCACAACACACAATTTGAAAAGGGGTTGCACGAAGCAGACGCCGATTTACTTCCAACCCCTCTCACTCAACATAACACAAAAGCACATTCACTCAGACAAGACACAAATAAACACACTAAGACCAGATAAACTTTATTGATCTCATAATAGAGATCGTTTTACATTTGGCTTCAACATTATCACTCAGGGTGTGAAGAAGACAGGAAATGTGCAAACATGTTGAAGAGATATTGAGTAAATTATGTGCAAAAAAAGTAGTTTTAGAGGATCCATGATTGTCAAGTATGATTGTTTTTTGATAGTAAAACAATAATCTTCCATTTTCTTCCGTAAGTGTAATTCATAAACTCAAGATGCATGACGGACACACCAAGATGGCGCTTTATACAAAGGGATTTAAAACCAGATTCATCAAAATTACACATAGATGATAAGCCGGTGGTGCAGTTAATCTGTTTTAGTTCGGACAACACTGTGTTTTGTCCGGGGGCCTCACACTAGTTGCATATGTGGCTGTGTTCTCCCTGTGCTGCTGCGGCTCATATTATGCGCTTGCTGCAGAGCTGGATGCTTCGCCCTGGAACAGCTTGTAGATGATGAGCTCGCCCATATGGTGCTTAAATCACTCAGCGTTTCCTGAGCCATTAACCTTCAGGACACCTTGCTCTTGTCCTACTCTTTGATTGACAGCTTTTTGTAGACTTCACTTAACACTTTCAGAGTTAAATTAGAAGACAAAAAAAGTAGAATCAAGGATCTCCTGTCTCGGATAGTCCCTTAATTACAGCGTGAGTGGTCTGCATGAGGCCAGTGGAGGCGCTCACCAGGGGTTTCCTTTACGTCCTTTATATACGTATCTTCTTAGATGTTATAATAGTGTTGAGCGCTGTTCATGCAAGGTGGCCCAGGAATTTACATAAACTGGAGGCTTTTTGGCCAAGAAGACTGGGCAGCTTTAACATCAGAGAGGATAAAGAATGCGTAGACCATACAAGGTCACCAGGACTGACTGATTGATGACGTCACCATAATGTTAGCCAAACGCAGAAGAAGCCGATTTGAACATAAGCTAAATATAAAAACTTCATGTCTTCTTATGGTTAAGGCTTTGAAGGTTCTTTCAACAAGACAAGAAAGTAAAGAAAGCTAGTTCTGCTTAATTGCCTGACATGTTTCGGCGGTGCACTTCCGCCTTCATCACGTGTCACCTCTGATGAAGGCGGAAGCGTACCGCAGAAACATGTCAGGTAATTAAGCAGTATAGCTTCCACTTTCTTGTCTCATTAAGAGAACCTCCAAAGCCTTGAACATAAGCTAGCAGAAGCCAATGTGCTTGTATGAAAGCTTGTTCTGATGGGGTTAGCTTCACGCCGTATCAAGGACAGGCAAGTTGCTGAGGTGGTTGGTAAGTCAAGCTGGAGTTTCCCTGTAAATTAAAGTATGTTATTGATCATTATGACTCAAATATGGATTTACAATATCAAAATATAAATAATAGGATTATAGAGTGTTTTAAAACACCAATTTTTTTAGGCCATTTGGTGAGCGTTACTGGGCCAGAGCAGTTTACTTTCAGTCAGTTTGAGCCGGAGCAAGTTAGACAATAAATGGATAATCACTTCCATTTGAGTAAAAAATAAAGGTTGACTCGTATATTTATAGAAGAAGGTCCTTCATTCATTCCACAGAGGGGAAATTTCAGTTTGATAAATACACATATACATATCAAGGCATGCAGCAAACATTTCTTCCGTGCTCCTTATAGGCAAAGTGTCTTTCCCAAGGACAAAACGAGAGCAGACATCATGGAGTCGGTGGAGAACATGTTGAGGTGGGCTCGAACCCACTACCTCCAGGCTTAAAGACCAATGCTCTACCAACTGAGCCACTGTCGTTCTATATTATATCCAAATTTTTTGAGTAATCTAAAGTCACACCATCAGGTCTCTCCATTGCAAAACAAGCTAGCTGACAGAATTTACGTTTTTTTTTTTTCTTTCGAGCGAAAAGGCCTCTGCAGCTCTGGCAAATCTTCTGCCTATTACAGAAAATTCAGAAAATAAAATCTGTAAACAAAGATGGTGAGAATAGCAGAGGGAGAGCAAAAGCGTTCAGATTTCTCAAACATGCAGTAATTGCTTTAATAGTGGCAATAATGTGTCTTTCTTTATATATTCACAGTAAGTATTCAACAGCCTGGTCCCTGTCCGATGTGCAAACCTCAGAGATGTTTGGGAGGCGAAGGGAGCTCCCGAAAGGCACAATGCAGAGGATCATAATGCACTGTGTGGCCTGCTGCCAGCTCGGTCTCCACTTTAGTGCAGCAACCTTATCTGGGCTGATGGGACGCAGCCACACGGGGAGATTCAGAGGAAAGACGATCTGACGGCTGCGCTTGTCCTCAGCTCCAGTATCAGCGCCCACTAATGGACTCCAAAAACCTCTGGCAGTGGTGTAGGAGTGTGACAGGAGCAAGAGGTAGGCCGGATAGCTTTCACCGGAGCGTGCAGCCTGGAGAAATGCAGAGATCAAATCATGCAGGAAGTGATATTGTAAGAGAACACATTTAATTGTTTTTTCTTGTTTTTATCCTATATAAAGCTTTATGAAAAACGTGATCTTGAGAGTGGTTTCTGTTTCGTGCGCAGTGCCTTTGTAAGTGACGGACCAAGCCATGGGTCTCCAAGATGTCTGTCCATTCAAAATCAAAGGCCTTTGCTCATTGGCGCATGGACGTTCCAAACATTAGCAGAAGTTTCGTCTTGGCCAGCCCTAGTTCTCCTGGTCTAGCGCAGTGTGGACAATAGTAACATGGGTGCGATCTGACCAATCAGCGCTGATAGTACAGTGTGAATCATTGTTCAGAAGTGACGCGCAAGTTCTTTCAATTCATTTCAATTAAATGTATTCTTCTATAATCCTTAATCACAACATTAGTCATATCGGAGGTCTTCACAAGCTGTCAACTCGCCAACACAGATCAGAGAATCAAACAGTTAAAGGTGCTGTATGTAAACATCTGGCCAAAACTGGCAATGCACTCTCCCTGACTCTGGTTGCCAGATATGCAAACGAATCCAGCTGGGATAATGTTGAATAGACAAGAGTTTTGTCAACAACAAATCTTTAACTAACACGTTTTTCACAATTCTCGTTTTATTTTGTGTTTTTTCTTTAATGATTTGAGAATCAAAACGAAATCTTTTTTAGTTCTGCGGTAACATGTTACTTTACCAGTGAGATTAGCTCCACGAGGTGAGTTCTGGCAACCCGGATCACAGACTTTCTGATTGGCAAAATGGTGGAGGGCGGGACATCGTAAACTAGAAAACATCATAGATTGTAAAACTAATTTGGAAATTCAAATGTCTCGGCTGAACTACAGTTGTCAGTTAAATAAGTATTCGAAAAGAGCATTTATGAATGCCTTTTGACACATTAGGGCCCTTTAACGATGACAAGAAAATCGTACATATTTCTACGTTAAACAAAGATTATAAATGCAATGATAAAAAATACCCAAAACAATTGGTCCATAAGGGGCGGATGACCAATGTCCATAAATGTTGATGAACTGCATAAATGTTGTTGAATGTTAAGTGTCCTGGATCATCACCACTGTCCTTAGACCCAGTGGGAGAAAAGTAGAAACCTTGGGTAATCTCACATTGACGGAGAGAGATCTCTTCCCAAAGACTGATCCAGGACTCAGGCTGTAGAACGAGGACCTAGGCCACACAATGCAGGACTTATATATATTCAATTGTCACCACAAAGAAAATATAAGATGATTGCCTGATTGGTTGATTTTCTGCCTCAAAATGGTACATCAACTGGATATACATGTGTGGCAGTGTAAACAAGGGCTGACTGATGAAAATACATGAATATCAAAAACAAAGGAAAATGTTTTTTGCCAAGACATTTAGATGCAGCCATAACATTTAGTGAGCATAATCTCATTCATAAATGTAATCCCTCTCCATCAATGCAAAAACACAAGGTGCATGTTCTCTCCATGACTGCATAGGTTTCCTTCAGTCAATTGCGTTTTCCGCTATTTTCATGTTCCCAGATGTCTATTATATCTAATATGTTTGGGGATAAGCTTGAGAGCATATTGAATCGAGCCAGCAGGTGGCAGCAGCGCTCTCTGAATGGTTTGAAAACAGCTAGATGCACTTGTTGTGCCTCTTTTTTCTCAGCTTTTTGGTGATTTCAGTAAAACTTCCCTCTACTCAACTGGGGATT